GAAAAACTGGCAGACTTCCTATAGGGAAGATAAGCTCTGTATGAATGGTCGTAGAGTGTTACGTACCAATGACATTAGAGTAAGAAAAGAAACAATAAAGAAGTAGCGAGCCCAGAAAGGTCAGTGATCGAGAGTACTAGTCGTTCACTGGCACCCGAGCTTGACACGGAAGCGGAATGTTGACTCGGATTTCGGTCCGTAGTCCCAAAGCGCTCCCCACGCTCATGACCTTCCATTGAACACCGACTACGTCAAAAGCAAAGTTCAGACACTGCTTGCTTCCTGCCATGACATCCTCTCCCACTTGAGAACTTAGCATGTCTCTTGAGCTTCTGTCTAGATCAACACAGGACAAACTTCGTTCGGCGCAAATCCTTACGTCGCTCCCGCAAGTCATCTCCGAGCTTGTCCAGAACGCACTCGATGCGCACGCAACGAACGTTGAAGTAGGCGTCGATTGTGAGCAGTGGGAGTGCTGGGTACGCGATAATGGCGACGGCATATCTCGCGAAGGATTGAGGGCTTTAGGGTCGGGGAGATATCGTAAGTTAACTATGCGAAAGAGAGCGCGGAGCTACGACACAATGCAGACACTTCGAAGGCGTACTCCCCGTCTTCGCTGGACCAAATTTCAAGTTTCGGCTTCAGGGGAGAAGGTTTGTCATACCTTCATACCCGCTTTTACCCTCTGAGTTTTCGCAAAGCCATTGCGTCCGCCGCCGGTGTATCCATTATAGAGATTGCCTCCAGGACATCTCGATCTAGGGAGAGTTACACTGTCATTGTCAAGGTTCGTCCCCTTTTAATTCGGCTGGAGGCGGGTCTTCAAGTACTCCACAGGATAGTAAATGCCTTTACGATGGTCCTTCCACCCGCTGGCGACGGGAACGGCCAGGAACTGTCGTGTGCTTACGTGACATCTTTTACAACGTTAGTGTACCGATCTTTCCCCTCATCTCCACGGACCATTAATATTTTCTTCAGCTTCCCGTACGTAGAAGGATGCACCCTTCCCCCTCGAAGACACTCGACCTCATCAAGCGCGAGATCGAGACCTTTGCGCTTGTCTTCCCAACGGTGTCGTTCTCGTTACAGGACATTGCGCGCGTCAAAGGAGGCCTCGACGGAAGTGTAATGACCATCAAGAAGGCGCGAGACTTCTCGCCTTTTTATCTATCAGATCACTCAAAGGCGTTGTTTAACAGACGGCATCGACGCTTGCCGCTTTTCAGAATATTCATGGACGCTCTCTCACGGAGGTATGGACCATAGCCAGTACTCCTAGCCACTATCTAAGGTGCTGCAGCATGCAGACGAAATTTCCGTTACTCAAGGCGATATGTCTGTATCGGGCTTTATCAGCGTCAACGGTACTCTCTCCAAGGTATGTTTTTAATGTCCCACCGAAGGTCTGTAACTCAAGCTGGTCTTGAAAGGCCTACGAATATTTGTGTACCCGTGCCCTATAATTCTTGCTGACTTGCGCTGACGAGCGAACGCAGACATTAATAGACATCCTATTGCGCCGTGTAACCTACACCGTGTCATCGAAACGATATTCTCGAGAAGTACATATGGAAGAACGACATCTGACAGTGACGAGGATCTTGCTCCCTCACGAAAGCGTGGGCTTTTCAGGCATGCTGTGCTATGATGGAGCATTGACGAGACAACAGGGCTTCGTCGCTCTCAGCGTAAACCGGAGCGTAGGCCCGTTTTCGTGCTAGACCTCACGCTACCTTCGCAAACAGTGGACAGATGCGTTGATCCAGCCAAAACAGCGGTACATTTGATGGTACGGTTGTTTTCTTAGTCCCACTGGAGCATGTTTTTTGACGCTCATGGCCGTAGAACAATAACGCCGTGATTACGTTCTTACAATCTGTCGTTCGCTCGTTTCTTGTCCGCCATGGATTCCTTTTTTTGGACGCCTATGGTTCTTCTGAACCTCCGTCTTATCCTCGTAAGCGTCGCAAGGTGGAAACTGCACCACCATGCAACGTCTCTTCCCTTCATAATAGGATCGATGGATGTGCGTGTGAAGAGATGCCTGAACGACTTGCTCTGGACGAGGACGATGAGAATGACGACCTCCTGATCCCCTTCCTATCCTCCGACAAAGAAATGGATAGGCAGCCTTTAGTCATTTATCCAGTGAGCAGTCTGCTCAAGTTTCGTAACGTCTTCGTTGAAAGTTGTGCAGGAGGAGGATCAAGATACCAACAATGAACCAATAATTTGGTGCGATCCGAGGACTGGCGCGCGGTACCACATAGACCGCAGGACTGGAAATTCTTACCGGGAAGATGTTGCCCGGCGGAGAGCGGAAGGGCGAGAAGAAGAGGATCGCAGGCCAGGCACTTTGCAAAGACGAACGTTGCATCCCGACAGTCGGGCGAGCTTAGGTCGAGATGAAGATACGCCGGAGTGGATCATAAACGCTTTGCAGGTGAGCCCATATGCACCTCATTAGCATCTTACCTCAACCCGGCTTGAAAAGGCAAACACAGCGTACAAACTCCTCGGCTGTCCCATTCCTTCCGCATTGCCACCCTCCCAGACCCAAACGCACACCCACGCTTGTTTTGCCACCCATCACCATCCGACCGGCGTGCACTCAATGACTTTCGACCGCGTCGCCCTCGCCGATGCGGTCGTTCTTGCGCAGGTCGACCGCAAGTTCATCCTCTGCACTTTAGATGACGGTGTGCTAGCCGTGTTCGATCAGCACGCGGCCTCAGAGCGCGTACGCGTCGAACGCTTCCTTAGGGAACTATGTGAGCTATTCCTGGAGGACGGGCAGAGGGAGGGAGCGAAAGCGGAGGTGACGCCTGCGATGCCAGTGTTGGTGACGAGGAGGGAGAAGGAGATGCTGAGGGTAGGAAATGACGTGAGGGAAGTACTGGAGAGGTGGGGGTTCAGTTTCGTGGAGACTGGAGAGGACAGTGCGGAGGAAGGCGAAGAGGGCTTGGGCGCCCAGGTATATGTGCGTTCCGTCCCGTCGGTCGTCAGTCAAAAGGTCAGCTCGCGAAACACCTTCAGTTGACCACGTGCTAACGCAACGCTTCGCAGTTGCTTGCGCCCAACGAGCTGCAGACTTTCCTCAAAGACTTCCTTGCTGAACGGGAAGCCGGTGACTCTACGCCGCCGATAGCTTCACAGGTCGACAACGCCGGAACCGACGACGCTTTCTCATGGCAGCGTGCCTTGCGTTTCTGCCCTCGGGGCCTTATCGAGCTCGCGAACACGCGCGCCTGCCGCGGTACGCCCACATGCGCGGTTTCACCGCCTGACGGATCCAGCTGATGTCGCAAGCAGGCGCAATTATGTTCAATGACGCGCTGACGCGCGCACAGTGCGAGCGGCTCGTTTCCCAGCTCGCGCAGACGGCCTTCCCGTTTCAGTGCGCCCACGGGCGGCCGTCGCTCATGCCGCTTGCAAGGGTACCAGCCTCTGCGTCCGGTGAGCGCGTCAGTCGTGCGGGTGTGGTGGACTGGGGACGCTTTCAGGGTGCAGCGAGTCAAGGAGATTAGTTCGGTACCGTACAAGATAGCACGCAGTGTGTCAAGCTGACTCGGTTTTAATCTAGTACTGTATACACCGCTGGCACCAACAGCGAGGGATCCTGTCTTTCGAAGAAACGGTGGAAAGAACAGCAGGAAAAGTTCTCAGCCCTTTTGAACAGGTCAGAAAGTGACAAGAAACCTTAAGGCGCATTTACCGTCTTTCAGCCGCTAAGGAAGAAAGAGGCTGGTTTTGAGTATCTTTACAGCTCGTGGGAAGAAGAGGTGTACTAACAGTACATACCGTACTGTGGCACCTTCGCAAAGCTGAACGACGGTGGCGCTGACCCTCACCACGACATGGTCGGCTCGCAGTACCGCATGAGCGACACTGTCGTCATGACGCGTGCTGTGAGCGCACGTAACAAACTTCCGGAACGACCGAGACGGTGACGCGACGCGGCCGTGTGGCGCTCAGACGCCAAAGCATCCATGACGTCACTTACCAGCGTGTATATAGGTCGCGTGCCATCCGATCCGCCTCTCTACTGCCACCTCCCCACCGCGACTGATCCATCTATCTACTTCGAGTCTTACTATCAACATCTCTGTAATGGCACCCACGTTGACCAAGGTCGTCTACCAGCCCGATTCACGCGAGTCGACGGCGTTCCACGTCATTGTCAACTCGGCTGAGGTGCGTCATCGGCCGGTCTCCGAGTCGGTGGGAGTGCGTTGCTGAGGGGGGTCTCGGGCCTACAGTACGCACGATGGAAGGGCGGGGAGACGAGTATCCCTCTTGTTGAAGTCGTCGACTGTGCGATGCATTTTTGCTTAATGGTGTCCCGGTACTAAGCGTATCCTAGCTTTCCAAGTGTTCAGCACACAACAAGGAGCACAGGGCCTACTCGGCAAGGCGTCGAAGCAAGAACTTGAGAACGCGTTCGGCACATCGCGGGACGACGACGTCGTAAAGATCATCCTTGAGAAGGGCAAGAGCGAGACGACGGACGCGATACGCTCATCCGACTGGGGAACGAAGAACGCTGGCAAGGGATCGTTCATCGACAACCGTGGAACTGGCCGTGGTACAACGGGCGTGTAGGTGTGGTTCGTGCATGGAAAGCGTAAACAGCAATTGTAACATATCGTCTCGCTATCATCATTGAGCATTGCTCTCCCAACGTGCCTTCTGAGCTGTTGTGCGACAGATGAGGCATATCTCGCCAAGCCCGTGTGCGACTCCCCTTGCCGCTTCCTATATACCTAGTGACGTGTGTGCTGGTTGCTAACAGAGATCAGGAAGCCCGTATAATTGTGGCTCCGACAGGGTCGAGGCGCGGGCTGCCCTCGCCGGTCCCCTCGTTTCTGATAGACACCAGCACGAGAAACTTGGTGGTACAAGTCAACGCGCTTTGCTGAGTGTCCTAAATTGACTATTTTTGGACAGAGCTTGGGGTAACAAGCTATAAGCTATGTGTTGCCTCTGGGTGGAATGACACTTTGGCCGAGGGGTTAAGGCGTTCGCCTGCTACTACATTTGGTACAGCGGATGGGCTCTGCCCGCGAGCGTTCGAATCGCTCAGGTGTCGATCATCATGGTCTCTTCAAATGTCTTTTTCAACTCCAAGACGATGAACCATCCACTAGGTTAAGATCGTGCTACGTATAGCCCTTCCTAAATGCGCGTACTCGTACAGACAAATATAGTTGAGCACACGTAGAAAGTCGAGGCCTCGCAACATTTTTTCAAAAGAGAAAATTAGACGGTGAAATATGAGAGGCCCTTTGATAGCTTCAATGCCCAGGATATCATCATGATCCCCTACCAGCTTGCTTAAAATGCATCGCTTCCTGGACAGTAACAGCGTTAGCTGTGTGGCCACCATCTGAATTCATCTTAAAAAAGCAACTATGGGCAACTAGATGTCTGGTTGAGCGCCGCTGATGGCAAGAGTAAAGAGTCAATCGTGAACTGATGTCGCGGTGGCAAATCTTGCGGCTAAGCTAATGACTGGCGCTTTAGCCCACGAGGGTTCGAGTCGGGACCACCATCATTTTCCAGTCACCTCAGCATGAGTATACATAAAGTTTGGCTGGACTGCGATCCCGTAGGCTCCATGCATCCAATAGGTGCGTATCAGCCTGACCAACCGCCTAGGGCCACGACGACGCGACCGCGATCCTGCTCGCCCTGCATACGTCCAGCATCGAGCTTCTTGGCATATCAACCGTCCACGGCAACACCGACGCGACCCACACCGCCCTCAACGCCGCACGCTGCCTCCATGCATGGGGTGCGCCGCCCAACCTGCGCGTGTACGCCGGCGCCGCAAAACCGCTGTTGCGCGCACCACGATACGACCCAGAGATCCATGGTGCTGACGGCCTCGGGGGCGTGGTCGGGCTTCCGTCGCCCGAGGCTTCAGAAGTGCGCGCGCGCATTGCGGTTGATCAGCCGGCCATTGAGGCGATAGCGCGGGCTGTGAGAGAGGCAGAGGGAAAAGTTGTCGTGGTTGCGAGTGGGCCGCTGACGAACGTCGCTCTGTTCGTGAGCGCCTATCCAGAGCTCCTGGAGAAGATCGAGCAGATTGTGTTTATGGGGGGTGGCATTGGCATTGGGAATCGGTCGCCGGGCGCTGGTACGTTGACCACAGTTTATTGCAAGACTTCGATACTAGTGCCTTCTCCTAGAGTGGAATATTCTTTGCGACCGTATGTCCACAGTCGATATTACTGCTGCGTACTCTCACATTCCTTCAGCCGAAGCTGCACAGATCGTTCTCGATGCGCCCATAAAGACCGTCATGATGCCGCTCAACGTGACCCATAAAGCAATCGTGACCTCTGCCCTTCAAGCACGTCTACGGAATCCTTCTGGCGAGCCGGGGCCCGCCTCCCCGTTGAGGCACACGCTCGCTACGCTCGTAACTTTCTTCGCGGACACGTACCGCTCCACATTTGGCTTCGAGTCCGGTCCGCCGTTGCACGACGCACTTACGATCGCCTACGTCGCACATCCAGAGTTCTTCGAGGGTACGCGCTGGCGTGTCGATGTCGAGCGAGCGGGTGTATATACGGCTGGCGAGACGATCGCGGATGTATACGGCTACCGCGCGTGTGACGATACTTGGGGACCTGGAGGAAAGAATTGCTTCGTTGTAATGGATCTGAGAGTGCGTCGCGCGATTTCTTTCCTGGGCCAAGCTTACTCTTGGCAGAATGATGAATTTTTTGAGTATCTACTACAGGCGGTTGAGCAGTGCGATGCGGTGTCACCTCTTAATCACAGGGCGTAGAATGTGCACACAATAGACGGGACAGATCACCGGTATTGAGCAGCAGGCCCTTTCGAGCCCCCGATCGATTGAATTCGCGGCTGCCATGCCGCCGGTCGATCACTTTCGCCGGTTCTTCAGGTGTTGCTCTCACAAGCAGCCGGCTACTCAAATGTGGTAACATCGGTAGGTGCACGTCTACCGCAGTGACTCGTATTCTCAGCCGTGGCGTTTTTGTCATTCAATCGCAAGCAGCTGTTCTCACCGCCCGCGCTTTACTGCTTCCAGGGCTCGACTTCCATACTTTGATGAAGAGCTCTCGGAATTTCCTACCGACGACTCCCCTTCCGTCGTGCTGATTATAAGCAGAAATACGTTGCCAGATGTCCAGCCAGTTTTCCTCAGGATGCTGAAAGTCCTCAACCAACTGAACCCCATCGCACAAGCATCCGGAGCCATCGAAAGCCTTCTCGGTCTGGGCTCCGGGAAACCGACCATAAACTCAGGTAGATCGCGCCACCATAGTTCGCATTCCCTGTCATTGAAAAAGTTTACAGACAAGTATGACGAGCTGGTGCATTACTTCAAGTATGCTTCGACGTCGTACTCGCTCATCATACTGCCTCGACCGAATGGTCAAACTCTGGTCACCACGGCAAGTGTTTCTTACATTCAAAGACAGGACGGCATCGTTGCTTACACAGTGTATAGTTGAACGACATTTTAACAGATTCTCACGGCTACATCGCACGGGACGACAAGAAAAAAGAGATTGTCCTTGCTTTCCGCGGCAGGTTCGCATCTAAGCATGGCTCTGGTCGGTCTGCGTCTGAGTTGAAGTGTAGCGTCACACCGACGAACTTCATTACGGACGCCTTATTTAAGCTTGTTGCAGTAGATGGGCCTCACATCAGTGCCCCTAGTAAGTCGTTTCGATCCTACGTGCCGCATGTCTCAAATGACATGCTATTAGACGATACACGCATTCATTTCGGTTTCCAATCTGCGTACGCCTTTTACCGTCTCGTATGGTGACCGGCTGCTGATATCGAGCACAGATGGAACACCCTTGCCGACAAGGCAACCACCATCGTGCGTGAGCAACTCGCGGCGTACCCCGGCTACGCTGTCGTCACCACTGGCCACTCTCTCGGTGGCGCACTGGCATCCCTTGCTGCCGTCGCGGTGAAGCAGGCACACCCCACGGTGTACGTACTACTCCTTGTTTGCGAGATTTTTGAAGTATGTGCCCTGATACGACGTCTGTAAGGAACGTACGGATGTTCACGTACGGCCAGCCGCGGACGGGTAACGCAGCGTTTGCGGCCTTTGTCAATGGTCTTATTGGGTCCAAGAATATTTATCGAGGTATGTGTTTTCTGAGATAAGCTGCTCCATCCGAGGACTGATTAAGCCTTCACAGTCGTTCATTCGTACGACGGGTCTGTCTCTACGTTCTTCCCGTGCGTTGGCTGCTTGACCGTTGCTCTCAGCGTACCAACTATGGTGCCCCGGGCCCTTGGCTACAGGCACTCTGGTACAGCCGATCCTCTCACCCATACGACCTTCCTCCTTATGCGATATGCTTGTCGCAGGTACAGAATACTGGGTCCTAGACCCTGCCTCGGCCGAGAGGACATTCATCTGCAACGCCGCAGGCGATAACGAAGAAGACCCGAAGGGTTCAATGCGAGTTCCGTCGACAGGCATCAATGTGCCGCATCTCGAGGTACGTTTCTTTGTTTTTTTTTTTGCTGCGAGTAAGACTGACGACGACGGAATAGTACTTTGGAATTCCATATATTACGCCGTTCTGGTTCTAATAGGACGTGTTCATGCTTACATGCTTATTTGATAGTAATCCTTCGTGCTGGTTGTCTATACTTGCGGGAGACTTGAGAGTCCCGATAGGTTTTTTGGGCCTAGAATCGTTGATCAATGATGGCTTCTAGCGGAAATTATAGTCGCTTGTTTCCGAATAAGCCACCTTACTCTGTCACGCCTGCCCATCGCTCCGTTCTCGCATCCGCACATCGGTGTAACGAAGATCAAGGGTCGCAATGTCATGCAAGAATTGTTGACTTTCTGCTAGATTCATGGGAGCGATTCGCATGCAGGGATCGTCGTAGGGCTCCACCCTGGGTAATCTGTGTCTTTCGTCGTATCCTGTTGGGGGGCTTACTCTCCTACCAACAGCCTATGTTTCAAAGCCTTACTAGCTCACAGCTTAATAGTTAATGTTCCCGCCCTTCTCGCCATAGACGAGACGTTAGACATCTGGAAGCATTGTGCAGCCAGTGTCCTTTACGATAAGCTGGGAACCTGAACTCATCTTTCGCGCATTCCATAGTACTTGGCGGAAAACGACTTCCGCCCAGCACTCAACTGCCTCAAGCCTATAAAAGGGCGATGTCAACTCAACGACCAGTTTCCACATGCTTGGACTCCAGGCGCCGAACCTGCTTGGTCCCATCACGCATACTGCGGGGTTTATGGAAGAAATTTTCGGCTTTGGCTCCGGCAAGCGAACAGCGTCTCAGCGTCCGTCTATATTCTTCTTTTACCGTCCGTGCTTATTCACGAGGAACAGAACAATATGACGAGCTAGTTCATTACTTCAAGTACTCGTCCACAGCTTATACGATGTCTTTTGCACCTTTGCCATGTCCACATGGTAGAACCCTAGTTGCAAAGGTGTGTGTGGTGTGTTTTTGTGCTTGCCATGAGCGTGTTGCTGATATACGGTTGATGGTTGAGATGATTGGTATCCTGACCGACTCGCATGGCTACATAGCTCGTGATGACGAAATGAAAGAGGTAGTCGTCGTGTTCCGAGGCAGGTGAGCATTGTCAAAGCCGCTGTCGGGTCTTCGCACTTTACGCTTGACCGGTAGTGTCTCACCTGCGAACATGTCTATGAACTTCTTGTTCAATCTGATTGACTTCGAAAAGACACGCATTGAAGCGTCGGGTGTGTACTCGCCGTCTTCTCTTTGAAGAGCATGACCTGTACCATGAGCTATCATGATCTTAGAGGATAAGCGGGTACATTTGGGTTTCCGGAAATCGTAGGTGTATTCAGTGGACTCAGCGCTGTTAGGAGCTAAGTGAACGCACAGCTGGAGCACACTCGCGGATAAAACCACCGCCCTCGTGCACGAGCAACTGTCCTTATATCCGGACTACACCATCGTTGCCACCGGTCACTCCCTCGGTGGCGCGTTAGCATCGTTTGCCGCCGTCGCGTTGAAGCAAGCACATCCTAACACGCGCGTCTAACTGATATACTGCAGAAGATCCATTGTTCGCTTATG